CGATTGAAACACAGCTGCGTTTGGAAAATGTGGTTAAAAGAAAAAAAAAAACTGTGGTAACTGAGAAGAGAAAGGTGACGGACTATAACCAAAACCACAAACGGCACACACACACACCCTGTGCAAGTATTTGCTGCTGAAGGATCTAATTGTATGGATGACAATAAAAACTAAAATGACCTAATTATTTTCAAATGACTTTTGTGTCATTTGTAAAATAAAGCTTGTAACTGGAAAACTGCCAAATCTTCTTTTTAGACTTTTCAATCTACTAATTTATGAACTGTGAACACTATCATCGTTGCACCTTTTAACTGTCATGTCTCCAAATTTGCAGCCTAATGCTGCCACAGTAGATCCAATGTCAGCCATTGCAACTGTTTTACATGGCAGGCTGGTGTTAAAGAACAGCAGCTGAATTATTTGATGATTATTCAGGTGTTTCAAAAATCATTTTTTGATGATTTTAGTGTGATCAGTTAAATATAAATAATCTATTCAGCATAAAAAATGTGGCTGGAAGGAGGTTGAATTATTTCTAAGAGTGAGAAACATTAAAAACGAATGATGTGAAGAACAGCATTGTGTCAGCGGGGGGAATAAGAACGTCGGCTCATATAATCACTGATGCATGAAGTCCACTTTCTAATGGTTGATTTTAATTTTCTTCCCAAGTAAAAGAGTATTTGAGAATTTAAACACCAATGTTTGTCTCTTTTGGATGTAAGTTGGACTAAAGTGGAGTGTTGCATTGTTTCTAGATTATCTTCCTGTATTTTTAACTTACAAACTTACAAAATACATGAAGCATTGAATATTAGTTCTTTCTTGGTAAGTAACATTGCCTAGGTTTGATTTACCTCTAAGAATATCATGCTTCACTCATCATTGCTGGTGTATAGACTTTACGTTGACTTACATTTATAAATTAAGGAGATTCTCTAAGTTTCTTACAGAAACCTTGCACCTTGTCGATGATTTTATTTTATTTTAAGCATGGTTTTTTACAGTGCACATAATAATAATAAAACATTTTAACCTTAAGTTAATTCACATTAAGTCAAAAAGTCAAAAAAAGTCAAAAAGCCTTTATTGACATTATATTCTGTGACAGATACAATGAGATTTGGGACTTCCATAACAGCTACCGTGAAATAAAAATAAAATAAAAATATATAATAAAAAAAAAATATATAGATATATTAAAAGGAAAGGAAATGTAAACAGTTACAAAAAATATATATAAATATATTAAAGGAAATGTAAACAGTGAAAAGGAAATGTAAACAGTGAAAAGGAAATGTAAAACAGTACTGGCACAGATTGTGTGTGTGTGTGGGGGGGGGGGGGGTAGTGCAAAACAGGTGTAAAGTGACCGACAGTGCAGGTCAGAGTTGAGGGGGGGCAATGGCTTGGGGAATAATGCAACCAGGTGAAAAGTGTCCGTCAGTGCAGGTCGGAGTTGAGGGCGGCAATGGCTCTGGGGAAGAAACTGTTCTTGAGTCTGTTTGTCCTGATCCTCATTTGCCTGTAGCGCCTTCCAGAGGGCAACAGGTCAAACAGGGTGGAGCCAGGGTGGGAGCTGTCCTTGGAGATGGCCCTGGCTCTGCTGAGGCACCGGGTGGAGTAAACCCGGTTGTAACTTCAAACTGACTCTCAAAGGTTGAAAAAGGGGATCCACCAGATTAGGACCAGCCTTCAGTCCCGATAAGGCCTGTTAGTCCTCAGAAGGTTATTTAATATATCTAAAACTGACCTAAACAAGTAAACACACAAACGTAACCCTAACCCCAACCTAAACATAATTCACACCATAGTCCTATATGTGACCCCTGACCAAAAATAACAATTCCCCACGTGGGGTCCAGGCATTGAGATCAACAACGTCCCCACAACGTCCCAGATTGGCCCCACAATGTATTAAAAACAAGAACACATACTTACACAACTCTGATCTATTCCACTTTATATAAGTGTATGTACAGAAATATAAATAATAACCCATTAAGCTGCAAATAGCCTATTTGAAGGCCACCTATGGTATAGAGGTGAAATGCAGCTGATAGAAGCAGCTTATGAATGGTGGTTTCTATAGAATAGAATAAAATGAAATATTCTGATTTTAGTTTTTTCCTCAGATGGAAAATTCATTGTGCGAAGGAAATAAAAAAAAAAACACAGATACATGTATGTCTGTAGAGATATTATATAATGATAAAATATTTGTATAAAGTGCAGGTAGGTGCAGGTGTACTGTATATAGTAGTACAGTTGGGGCCCATTGTGACCAGGCATTATCTTTACCTTACCAACATGATGAATATTTGCAAAGCTTTATTCAATGTTTGAAATGATTTAAACATTTAACACTAGTCTTACTTTAATTAGATGCAAACCTTTGCATCTAATTATATGGCAGGTCTCATTTTTTAAGGAACAGTTGGATACCCTGATTTGTTGCACTGATAGTTTATAGTCATGTTGCACTACTGCCATCTAGTGGATAAATCGGGTTTAAGCAGCTTTGAAGTAGTTCACTTTTCTTTACAAGCACTTTTTCTTTTTCTTTCTTTTCTTTTCACAGAAAAACATAAAATGCAGATAATTTCAAAGCATTTACAAAATCTTTGAAACCACGGATAAAGGTGACTGGAGGAGACTGGTCTGATAACTGGTCTCTAATGTAATAGGATGGCTTTGGTGAAAACAAATAAATAAATGAAGTGTTTACTCTTAGCTGCTATCAGTCGGTCAGTGGAGGAGCTGCAGAGCTGCGTCAGATCATAAAGGAAGTGGTGCTGATGGTCCAGGAAGGCTTCAAATCAGTTTGGATTTAGTAAGTCGACTGTAGCTGATGCAGCACAATCAGTAAAAGAGCAGAAACCCAGCAAAAGAACAGATATCAGTAAAATAACATTTACTTTTATTATACATAGGCAGCCCCAAAAATACTCACTGCTGTTTCTCCTCAACAGTCATACTTCTGGCTGTGGAAAATCTAAGTGAATTATATATATATATAAAAAAAAAAAAAAAAAACTAGAAATAATAAACCAGCCTTTTGTTTATATTAGAGCATATCATTTTTATTTTTTCAGGTCAATTTCACAGAGCCACAGCAGATGGACTGAACAAAGGGATAGTTGGAGAGTTGAGAAAAGGAACTTCTGAATTGGAATTAAATCTTCCTAAAACCAGAAACCAGTCAAGGATTATCACATAAAGCTTTTTTTTTTTTTTTTTTTTTTTTTTTTTTTTTTACCAAACATGTTTCTATAAATCTCCAAATGACTGCCATCACCCATCTATTAAATATAGTCTTTACATCAACAGAGAAACAAAGAGGAGGTGTTACCTGACTGCAAAATCAGCCTAAATCACCAGCCTTACCTGCCTGGTGTTAGAGTTCATCATTGTTTAATATTTAACATGCTGATAGTGAGGCCTGCTGGGCCAGAGATAAAGCCCAGGGGGATTTTTTTAGGTGTCTCTAAGCACTGAATGGTTGATTTTAATGGCTTTTATTTCAGATTTCTAGACAACAACTGTTCCTCTAATGCTAATTGCTGATGCTTGTCCTTTGTTATGAGGTGCCAGTGGTGTCAAGTAATAAAGTATACTTTGTTACTTTATTCAAGTAGAAATTTTGGTTATCTATACTTTACTGGATTAAATATTGTCTAGACAACTTTTAACTTTTACTCCTTACATTTACTTGCTGTTATCTCTACTTTCTACTCCTTAAATTAAAAAAAGGAATTGTTAGTTTGGTTTATTTAAGCTCCTTTTTATTATTATTTATCATTATTTATCATTGCCTGTTGGTACTAAAAAGAATAATAATAAATTGTAAAAAGAAAAATTGCTTCGCACAGACATTTTCTGTGTGGGGGGACCAACTGGTTTTTCGCAACATACCAAAATAAAAAGTTTTTCAAGATGATACAAAGCTAAATTTAACACTGTTTCCTTTAGTTATAAAACTAAGATAGATAAGTATAAGGAAGTTATCATCCAGAATTGTAGAAACATTTTCCTTTAATAGTGCAATAACCAGTAAAAGGTTTAACGCATCTTCTTTAACATTTTCACCAGCATTACTTTTATACATTCGAAAGTTTTAAAAGTTGTACTTTTACAGTTTTACTTTTACTCTAACTTCTACAAAAGTGTTTTAAACCGTAGGATTTATGCTTCTAATTCAGTAAGAAACATTTTGATACTTCTGCCAGTTTGCCGCTTATTACCTGCAGGGCTGGTAATACACAGCTTTTCCATCTTATCAGATTTGCTTAATAGATGGAGTCACATAGAGATTATTTTATGTTCCAACCTTCTGTATCGTCTCCTTACTGCTGCTACAGTACATCTGTACTGATCTTGGCACCTTTAGGCTGGGTTTATTTCCATGTTGCTCTGCTCTGCTTTTCTCTCTGCTCATCAGCTCTTATCACATCCACCTGCACCTGTTGCTATTTAAGCCTCTGGAACCCAGCCTTTGTTGCCAGATTATTCAAGCTTTATTGCAAGTCTAGGTTTCCTCTAACATTTGGTTCTGCCGGTTCCGCCCATAGACCTCTGAGTTTTCGACCATGCCTGCTTGCTCTGTTTGCCTGTTTTTTTTTTTTTTTTGGACTGATTCCTGGATTCCTCCTGGCGCTGACCCTTGACCTGTCTTCTCACCATGGCTTGAATTACCATTCTGGATCTTTCGGTTCCCATGCGTGCTGTGTCTGCTAAAGGATGCTGCTTCTCTTCTCACCTGGATCTCTGGTACCGTCTCAGCATTATGGAAAAGGACTTCCACTGCTCTGGACAGCAACCTTCTGAGCACAGACTGAGCTGCTGCACGCTTTATTCACAAACTCTTTTTTGAGTATACCACTTTCTGTCCCGCCTGAATTCTGGTTTTTATGTTCTGGGCTTTCTGACAACATTTCCTCCAACCAAAAGCTTTATATCTTCAGCTGCTATGCAAAAAAATAGCGGTTCAAACTAAAAAGCATTTTACACTTGTGTATTTTTATTAGAAACATTAGTTCCCACACATCTGGTGGCTTTCATCACCAGCTAAACATGTTTATGACGCAATAACAACATGTCAGCTTACTAATGATGGGACAAATCAGAGCTCCTCAAATTAGAAAATATTAGTGGAAGATTCCTGAGGTTATTCTTGACATGGACTGATGTCAGTGACATACAGTAAAGGCCCAGAGGAACCAGTCAGACAATTTTAACTAACAGCTTTCATTAAAAACAAAACTGTTTCTTAGTGTATGATTTTTTTTGTTCTTTTCATTCTGCCCCATGAGGCTGATCAGGTTACAGGGAAATAGGCAATAAGCAAGTCCCGACAGATACACTATTCAGACTGAGGATGGAGAAACAAAACAGAAAGCTTCTTTATTACATTCCAGGTGTAACCGTGTATTTTTATTAGAAATGTAGAGACATGTTTAATTTTTTTCCTTTTTTATGATTCACATACTTTTTCAGCATAGATTGAAAGGTGGGGGGATTGCAAGTTTGTTCAGCCAATAAAGTGCATGTGGCAACAGGGTCGGGTGCATTTAATAAACCCACCATATTGTTTTTATTGCTGATTCCCAACAAATAGCAGCAGGATAATTTGATGTGGTGCTACATGCAGGGTGATTCTGATTGAACCCTATGCTGAAACAGTACATTATGCACATTAATCCTTATCCCATAGGATAAATATTATCTATGAATGTAAAGCAAAACATGCAGCGTATTCAGGCAATGGATTTCCACCTTAAAGAAAGATCAATACTTGTTAGTTTTGATTGAAACATTAGACCTGTAAGAAAAACAAACTTCTTAACGATAAAGCCATTGAGAGCAGCAACTTTGCAATGAATCAACTGAACCTTAAAAAAAATAAACGTATTACAGTAACTACCAAAACCGTAACATAGTAACTGGGTAGCCTGCCTTGTGAGATATATACAATCTTATGGGAAATTATTAAAGGAGAAATAAATCACTTCAGGCATGTTTAGATAAAGTGGCTTCAGATAAAAAAAACTGGAAGAGGATATCAATAGTGTTGCACTGATTCCGATACCAGTACCAACAAATAGGGTATCGATACCATTTTTATAGCCAAAAGTTTATTCAACTATTGTCACCCATTCCAGGTAGGCAATAAAAAGTTCTACTGGATTCACTTTGTTTTAGTCTTTTTCCTGCTTCACAAAAGTAGGAAGAGCTTGACGAAGCTATGATGGCCATTATTTTCCATCCAAGTAGTATGCAGTTCTTCATATATACACACACACACATATCAATTTCAAACAGATGGTATCGGTATCGGCCAATACTGCACAGCCAGGTATCTGTATCAGGGTCAAAAAATGGCATCGGCGCAACACTAGATATTAATAATAATTAGAATAAAATCAATCCCTTACTGTGTAGCTGAGTTCACTGTGGAAAAATCTTAAAATCTTTTAAGAAAATGTAAAGGATCAGAAGAAAATATCTGATATCCAATGGCCATGCTCCCAGCGAAATATTTCCCTTTCTTTGAATTTTAAAATTACATAAGAGAAACGGGATTCGCAGCAAGGCAAGTAATCAGTGGGGGAAAGGGAAGCTACCCGAGGTGAGGTTGACATGGAAACAGCTGGATAACCGTGGCGACCTTCCATCAATGACTTGGTGCAATGATATTGTCTTACTAATGTTAGTCCAAATAAACCAAAAGCCACATACATCCCAGGCCTCTCACGTTGTGTTGCATTTAAAGTCTCTTCTTGAGTTGCTTCTCTTACAGCTGAAAAACAAAAAAATGATAATAAATAACTTTTTTTTTTGCTGTTTTTAACAAACCCACACAGGTTATTTTGACTTTTTGGTGTTTTCCTGTATAGTTTTACCAAAAAAGATTCAGCCTCTGCATTAACGTAGGTATATTGACAAAATGAAAACTATTACAGGGTTTTAAAATTAAACAGATTAAGCAAAAACATCAAACTGATTTAATCAAAATAAGATGTCTAATTTAAAGGGCAACTACAGCTTACACCTTAAAATATACATAATTACTTGACCTTAGATTTATTTATAAAGATGTATAAAACAGATTAAAATTAGGTTTTAATAAATCTATTTTCTAAACAAATGAAGATGATTTTATTAATTTTAATTCTATATTTTAAATGTGTTTTAATAATTTATTGGGACATTTAATTATTTGATAATGTGTTTGTTAATATAATGGTGTATTTAATATTTGAATCAAAAAATAAAAAAATAAAATAAAAAAATGTTACGTATTAAAAATTATAATAATAAAACCCTGGTAATATTATTGAGGTAACAGTAACTAGATTGTTCTTTTATTTTCATTTTTTATAGTAAACAGTCTATAATTTATAAATTTGGCCCAACAAGGTGGAGTAGGTGTCAATTATTCCTTATTGCAACATTATATTGCTGTCAATAGATTAAATCAATCTAATCATTGGTCACATGCTTAGTTCCCTGATTCCCACCTGTGACGACAACCTCCAAATTTGTGAAAGTGCTTCTTCCATCAACCCTAATGAAGGATTGATACCGTCCTGCATCGCTGAACTTCAGGTTCCTCAGGAGACATTGGATCTGTCCGTCCTCATCTTGCTGTAGATCACACTGGAATCGGCCTCTTAGTGTTTCATCCATGTACGGCTCAGGCTGATATGTGCTGTCATACCGATAAATGCACCTTAGAGGCTCCTTATTGATCAGATCCATGTACATCCTGCTGGAGGTAGTGATAACTGGAGACGACAGTGTCAGCGTGATGTTGGAGTGTTCTTCTGCCTCATAGACGTCCTGAGTGCTGTTTCCATCATTCAGGGGTTTACCTGCAGGAGTCAGAATGTATGGATCAGAGTATGAGGCTCACAGGCTGATAAAGTCCTCAGAACCATCTGATCAGGATAACTAACAGTAGCTCTGCTCATTAAAGATTGTCACTAACAAGGAGAATAAATTTGATTAAAAGGTTAAACTTAAAGAGGATCAACATATTTCATACTCATTCAAACCACATGAACTTTTCCACAAGTTTCCCATTTTGACCACAAATGTTAACATTAACGTTATCATCATTTATTTTATTTGATAAAACAACATGTTGTAAAGAGCAGCACATAAAGTGGAACTCTGGGATATTTACACCGAAACATTCAAATAATCATGTAAAAGTTAAGTGCGTGCTTTAATATGACCCTCTGAACAGGACCATCATCTGGTAACGGAGAAGTCATTACTTAAATTAGAATTTATTTCCACTGAGTAAAATTCAGCTTTTATGAACTATTTAGCAAAAAGTACAGATAGGCAGTAATTCAGTACAATGACTGAGATAAATGTAAATGGTTACTTTCCACCAATGCTGCAAAATAATACAAAGGAACGCAATCTACCCAACTTTAGAAAGATTTACTTAAAGGTATAGTGGAGGATTTTTGTGATATTTTAAAAGTAAAGCAATAGTTCAATATCTAAACATGACCTTCATCTGGTAATGTAGAGGGAATTACTTAAATCCGTATTTATTTCCACTCAGTAACTGATGTTTTACTCAAGCATGTATGTACAGTATTTACTTTCCCCCCATGCTGCAAAGGAATACAAATTAATGAAAACTACCCAACTTGAGAAAGTTTTACTTAACATAGAAGTAAATCAGCGAGAGGGAGGGAGTAACTTCAATAAAAAAAACAGAAAATATGATATGAGGAAAGAAAAATGTGGTTTATGAGATCAAAAAGACAGGATGAGAAACAATAGCTAGAAGGAAAGGAAAGTGGGAAAAATGAAAACAGCTTAAGATATAAAGGAATTTATTCTACATGTATCACACTACTATCAAAATATAGGCCTACGTCATTGCTAGAAGGCCAAACCAAAGAGATAAACCACAAACTGCTGTTTTTGCAGGGAATCAGAAAACCCTACATTTTTTTCCATTACACAATAATGAACCCCTTGGTGTTGGTCTACCACACAGAATCCCAATACTTTTATATAATAATTGTGAATTAAAGGAAAGAACATGAATTTTCAGGCCTACAGTATATCCTGGAAGCTTGATTATAATAAGGAGCAGACACTGCATGTCTCTAGTATGCACTTTTACATAGAGACTAATAATGAATGCCACGTCAGTGTTTTCATAATGACGCTAATAACAACAACACTATTAATTATAACCTGGGTTTAAGTTTAAGAACAGTAAACTATATGATCTTTTTTAAACATAGATCTAAGCAGAGTTTGCCAATAAAGTTAGATTTTTTGTCACCTTCTCCGGGAGGAAACCGAACCCCAGTCAGCACCAGAACCAACAGCATGATTCTCCACTTCAACATCCTGTACACCTGTGAAATGACACAAAATATAACCCTCTAAAGATTTACTATAAATCTGAATATGTGTTATTTTTAGTGGAGGGCATAGATTACTTTCTTTAATCTTGATTCATTTCACTGTAATCTTGGAATTAATATTGGAATTAATCTCTATAATTAGTTTAAATGTTACATCTCCAGGTTTCTGATGTAATCAGCAGAAACTGAGATCTCATTTCAGCATAATATAGGCTATATATGTTTTTCTTAACAATTACTCACTTACATTTTGTAGTGTATTTGTCCTTTCTTTATAATAGAGACAAAACATGTTATTAAACACTTCTATTCATGTCCCAAATGGACCAAAAGTGAAACATTAATAGTCATTTCCCCATCTTGTCATTACCCAGCAGCACTTTGTGGCTACTCCACCTTCATAGGACATTGCAGTGACTGCTGGAAAAAGGGGAAATAAGAGTTTAGACCGAGTGACACAAAGATAGTGACGGTAAACTGTTCATCATGACCTATTATGTAGGCCTATAATTCAGAAGTATTTTTTACCAAAGCAATAAGTCAGAATCAGAATTCCTTTATCAATCCCTTGTGGGAAATGTTGTTCTTGCAGTGCAACCATTTACAGAAGAGAAAAAAAATAAAATTGTTGGTAAAAATAAGATATAAGAATAAAGTAAGATAAGGATGATATGTGTGTGCTCCCTAAATAATAAGTAAAAGTAAGTCTTTGAACAGGTTTCTCAAGCAAGGTGGCGCATTAGACCTGGGGCTCATCTTCTGTTTCAAAAATGCATCACAAAGTTCTTGAGAAAGCTTTTCTACTATGATAACTGCTGATGAAAATAAATAATATTCAATAAGATGTATTTGAGTTTAATAACTATTCAGATAAACATGTACTATAGGCCTATATAGTAGTTATTTCCCCTATTTCCCCTTTTTCCACCAATCACTCAGGCAGTCATTGTCCTGAAGTTGGAGTAGCCGCAAGGGCTGCTGGGTAATGACAAGATGGGGAAATGACTTTTGTTTCACTTTTGGTCCATTTCGAACATGAGTAGAAGTGCCTAATAACATGTTTTATCTTATTGTAAAGAAAGGAAAAATATATTGGAAAACGTTCAGATAAAACGTCAGTGAGGAAGTGTTAAACAGAATATATATAGCCTATCACGCTGAATTAATATCTTCCGATGCGTTAACTGTATGAGAAACCAGGAGATATGACATTTAAACGAATTAATGAGAGCAGGATGCTTCCTGAAAATTGTGCAGAAAAAAGTTTAGACGGGAATGGCGCGGAAGAAAGTGCGCAAAACAGAACAACTTACGCATATATTCTCAGAGAACAGCGTTAATGATGTTTGGTTTACCAGCTTCCGCTGGATAAATTATTCTTCCATAGTTAGAAACTGCAATAAAAGCCAGGTTCATCAAAGAGAAACCCTTTCAATGCGCTGCTTCCTACTATGGTACATTAATGAAAGCACAGCCCCTCCTAACGTCACTGTAAGAAACACTGAACTAAACATCGGGAAGAATGTCATTTCTGTAACTTCTATAATCATGAATTGAAATGTTTTTGTATTATAAAAACACATTACAAATAAACAAAACAAAAAAAATTGTAGCACTAAAATACCTGAGAAGCAAAATTCATTTATTTGAGAAACTTTTTTCCAGGACCTTTTAATCTGAAATGAATTAAAAGAGTCAAAAAAGCCCATTTCTAAATGATCTTCTGCTTTTTAAAGGAAGCATGTTAGTTTATTTAAAGATAGTCTTTAAAATGGTCTTATTTTGTTGCAGTGATTTCTGATACAGCTGGTTGTGCCTGTTTTTCTTTAAAGTCGAAATCCTACAAAATGCATTAAGGAATTTGTGAATTGAAATAAACCTAAAGCTTACAGACTTGAAGCTTTATTTAATAATTATGTCAACGACTGTATTAGCCTTCTATTAATTGACCCAGAGTGCCACCATCTGGCCAGCTTAATTTAAACCTTCAAGAAAAACCAAGAATATTGATTCATCTTTTGCTTTACAAAAAAAAAAAAAAAAAAAAGAGAGAGAGAGAGAGAGATTAATTAATTAATTTATATTCCTGAAGCCATTTCTATGTTTCAAAACATAATGAAAAGCTGTGATCTCAGTAATAATCTTCATCAGCTCCTCTGGAATTTAAACCAGTCCTTCCTCGACTCTCTTATAGTCCCTCATGCAGGAGCAGCAGCTGTTGGGGACAACATGAAATATCTTCAGTCATATCTGTTTTAATTGGTCATAAATTGGACTCTGGTGCAGACAAACCACAGGAACACAAAGCAAACATGCAAGGAAAGCATAATGGATAAATGTTTTTACCCATTACAAAGTTTTTCTGTATTTACCTTTTTTGTCATGCTGAGATTATTCTAATCCTTAAAAAAAAAAAAAAAAAACATCAACAAGAACAAGAAAACAAAAAACTGTAAATGACTAAACACAGAAAGTTTTGTGTTGTATAAATATGATTTTATTTTAAAAAGTCTAAAAACCATTCCAGCTCTTCATGTGAAAAGCAGCCTTTATTGGATCCCAATTATCTGTGATGAAGCGGCGCCCTCCCCCAGTTCTGCTCACTATGAGACATAGTAAAGTAGAATAGAATAGATACTTTATTCTCTACTTTTTAATTGAATAGAAACTATAGAATAATGTGGAATATACATGTTAAAACAAATTTTATTCAAACTCTGAAAAATGACAACACAGTTTGCAAGTTTCACAACATGTAGGTTTGCAAGACAATGGAAAAGCATGACAAAGGTATTTTTATTTATGGGCCAAAGCAGAATATTTCACAGGAATAACAACCTCTGGCAATAAAAGCAGGAGTGTAAACAGCCTGCTGTGGTCACTAGGAGCAGCGACAGAAGGAGTGAAGATGATGCTCCTGCAGCCTGTCCCACATGTAGATGCTGGAATCCTCCACTCCAATGCCTGGCTGATAAGCAAACGGTTATGGATCCAGCTAAAAATGACAAAATGTTACTTAATATTGCTAAAATTATTTTGCTTCTTTATTAGTAAGCCTAATAAATTTTTACTAAATTGGAAACAAAAACTGATTTTTTTTGTATTCTGCTCTTTGTGGGTGGCATAATCAACAGAAATAGCGAAAGTTAGAAACCCTCATGTCTATTAATTAATTCAAAATCTCTGTAAACAAAGTTATGACAGGATTTACTTCCAAACAATGTGTACATTTGGTGAAAGCTGAAAGGTGTAATTTTTTAGAATGTTGAAAAGACATTAAAAACTGTTTTCAACGTCGTTATAACGTCTATCATTGTTCTAAAGTCAGAAAAAAATCAGGCCGACCAAACAGCCCTATTTTAAACAATGATTTTTCGACTCTTGTTTTTATCTAGAGTCTCAATAATGTGTTTTTAACATTATTTGCTTCTTTTATCATGAAAATGTTCCTTGGTGACCATAACTGTATCTATGGGCCGGATTTATCAAAGGTTTGCGTGTATTAAAACGTGAGCTATTTCACTGCGCACGCTAAAAAATGTACAAACTGATCTATCAACAGCGTGCTAAAAGCATTTGATCTTTAAAACGTGCTAAATAGCGCCTGTGATCCATTTAGTACTTTTTCTGCAATGAATATGCAATATGGGGCGTTTACACGCTAAAGTGCGTCTTGTGGGAGGAGAACATGTAAATATATTAATTTAGCACTCGCAAAGTGATTTATCAAACTTGAACGCAATTTTGCTAACGGTATCTGACTCTATATTTAACACGTTTCAAAAGAAGGTGCAAATGGTCTGTATGCGTAATTGCGCACACATGGCAGCGGTTATTGTCGCAAGAAGGAGACATGGAAATGAAGCAAGGAGACGCAGAGAATGCATTTTTTCCCTCCGTGTGAATATTTTTGGAATGAACGAGGAAACGATCATCAAAACATATCGTTTATCTAGCATTGCCATTTTGGAGCTGTTGGGGGAACTCCGAATGGATTTGGAGCCAGCCACAAGGAGGACCCACGCAATAACAGATATCACAAAACTCCTTGCAACATTGCACTTTTTTGCATCTGGGTCATTCCAGCGTACGGTTGCAGCGAGAGCTGGGATCTCCCAATCTCGTTTTTTCAGAAGTGCTGTCCGACGGGGTCGGGGTTCTCCCCCTGCGCCTGTGGAGCAACGTGCCAAATGCTGCGGGGATCTCATCCACAGTCACAGGCCAATACAAAACACCTGTTTTTTTTTTTGTTTGTTTTTTTTTACTGCAGCACATACCACCTTAGGGAATAAAGGTTGCCAATTTATAAATAAATAAATAAATATATATATATATATATATATATATATATATATATATATATATATATATATATATATATATATATATATATATATATATATATATATATATATATATATATATATATATATATATACTTATTTATTTTTTTTTGTTGGGGGTCACTGTAAGATTCAAATTTCTTAATGCACTAGTTTGTACAGACTACAAACTACTTTGCCGCAAACCACAAAACGCGCAAAACCATCATTTAAATAGGGCGTCTCCAACAGTTTTGCACCTTCCACCAGTTACGCAATCGCTCTTGTTAAATCACCCGCAAACCATGGTTCAACCCCTCGCGCAAAATTCCACTTTGCGAGCGCAAATTACTGCACGCAAAATTGGATCTTGATAAATCCGGCCCTATGTGCTGTGATTTAGCTGATAACTTGACATGGTCTCTCTCGTAAAAGAGGTTCTGAATCTTAATGGGACTTCCTGGTTAAATAAAGGCCACATTTCTTTAAAAAAAAAATCATCATTGGCCAAATACTTTCCAGGATATTAATGAGATCTAAGGTCTTCTGTCTACCCTTGGCAGTGCTAACTTCTTCTTATTCCCATCAGTAATGGTCATGACTGAAGTCCTATTGTCTTCTGTTCCTGCTATATGATACTGCCATCTAGTGGACAGGTCATATTTAACCTCATAACCTGCTGCAGCTTTTCTCCCACTTTAAAAGCCACAGTAATTTATGCAGGACTTCATTTTACATAAAACGCAGGGCAATTTATATTTGATCGATGTTGTGGAAAGTTTTTTTTAGCTTTAATTTTTAAAACCCAGTTCTTATTCTTGATAAAGAGACTTCAAACCATGGAGGATTTCCTAAGTTTAGCCCAAAATCAGAATCAGTTTGTTTTTATAGCCAAGGAATGTGTTTTGTGGATGATGTGCAACATAGACAAATAAACATACAGCTCGCATGAACACAGGACTATGCAGAAATAAAGAAAAGCACATTGTTTATCAAGAGCACCATGACAGTTTTAAAAAAAACAGTAGTATAAAATAAAATTACATTATATAAATACACACACACATGCTCGAATGTTTTTTTGTTGTTGAAGGTTCTGGTCCTGATGGAGCGCAGCCTTCTGGCAGAGGGGAGCATCTGAAACAGTCTGTGTCCAGGATGTGAGGGATCGGGTGTAATCTTGCATGCTTGGCTCTGGGTTCTGAAGAGCAGATGATACGCTGCAGCCTGTCCTTGTCCCTGATGGTGGCAGCAGTGCCCCAGATAGTGATAGAGGAGGAGAGGGAGTGTAGAAATTCACCATCATTGTTTTTAGTGGTAAAGGAGGTTATTTTCAGCTTCCACTAGAGGTCCTGGATGTTGATGGAGCCCTGGAAGCCCTACTAGACTAAGCTGGTTCCTTTGGTTCAATAGGAGTCTCATCCTAATTGTTGATGAGGCCAAGTACAGTAGTGTCATCAGCACAGTTCATGAGCAGGTTTCAGTTCTACAATGGTTTACAGTCATGGGTCAGCGCATTTTAAACATTGTTTTGATAAAATTCTATCAATGAAGTAGTTCATTAAGGCGCAGGAAGAGGAATTAAGAGAAGTTATATCAAAGTAACCGATTCTAATACAATTATGGCAATTGCTCAAAAACTTTAACATGAAAGTAACAGATTGGTTTAGATCAGTTTATAACAAAAATATGTTATTTACTTCATAATCTTTCTGATCGTAATCTGACCTTTAATGCAGGGAAACAGACACTAATCATCAGAGATCTGTGTTGATTTTTAATTGTAATCTTCCTTGTAGCTGCACTCTAAAGAGGTTAAAACTCTATGAAAAAAACACAACCGACGTATATCACCCCTTTCATACGCCCTCACCCACTTTGTCACAGTGACCACAGTTTTGTGGCTGAAAATGAGAGAAGCTGACAGGAAAAAACCCTTTTCTATAAAACATCTGTTTAATTCCTGCTGCTGTCGATGACTGAAGGACCGACTCTCATTAAATGATCTTATATCAAATTGGCTTTAAAAGAAGGAAAGACTCTCATCCAGGACAGGAGAAGGTACAGATACAGTTTATAAACAGCAGGTAATCAAATTGATCTAAAGTTGTGTTTAGTATCACCAAATTCATTGTGTAAAAATGTGTTATTTGGAGTTTATTCTCTTATTTAATCACCTATAATTCAAATTTCTTTTAAATCTGTTTTAAACCTCCTCGTGACTCTGACTAAGAAAGACGCTTTGATCTGCAAACTGACCTAAATTCACATCTTCTAAAACTGAAGGATGGAGAGGACATTTATTTTTCCCATGATTTGTAAGTATATCTTTAGAAATTTCTAATTTAACTGAATTAAAGTAAATGTGTTGAATTATTATCAGCATCTAACTGTTAGATTTAAAGTTATTTTTTGTCTGTTGGTTATTTCTAGTTCATGATTGCTCCCATCAGTGTTATTTGCTGTTCTATCTGGTCCAACATAAACTCTCTGTTTAAGGCGATACAATTATTAATTTATGAATTGCCAGATCCCTAAAATCTTTTTAAAGCTACAGTGTGTAATAATTACAGGGATATACAGTCAGAAATGTAATATATTATACATAACTATGTTATTTATCATCATCTACGAGCTCAGCCTCTTAACCTTAATATTTGCGTTGCCTTAGAATTCGTTATTTATAATTACATAGGAGCGGGTCTCGCAGCCATGGAGGCAGACATCTTTGTGCTACGGCAGCGCAGAGCGAACAAACTAGTGATTGCGAGATCGCCCATTACGCTCGAAAGTAACTACGGCAAGTTGAGAGAGATGAACTGAGACGGTACTGAAATCTATACCCTACACAGACTAATGAAATACTATCTGTAAAATTATCTATGTAAACAAACCTCATCACTTGAGAAGGTAGGTGATGCGGACGTCGTGGAAGACATTTTGTCCCGTAACGCTCGCCGTACTGTTGGGGGGGAGAAACGGTGGGGGGGAGATGTTCATGTTGCTGCGGTCTGCATTCTGGACGTTAGATGTCGCTGAAAATTACACACTGTAGCTTTAAAAAGAACCTGCCTGATAAGGTGAAACAGGCTAAAGAAATGTACGGATAAATGGAATGGTTAAGGTTCTAAACCTCTTTCCAAGCCTTTGGGACTTAAGTGTTTTCTCTACAAATGGAGAGTGATAACCTTCCAGGAGTATCCAGCCTAGCAAAATTCTTCCAAGAGATAATCAGGGATTCATCCAAGAGGTCACAGAAGAATCCGGAACAACTTTCAAATATCTGCAGGAATCACACGCCTCAGTTAATGCAAAGCTTAATTCTTTCACAGTAAGAAAGAGACTGGGCAAAAGAAGCATCAATGGAAGAGTACTAAGACCAAAATATGGATGACCAAACTAAACAAAGAGCCTTATTGTAAAAAACAAAAACAAAAAAACCCCCAAAACCCTTATGGAAAGACTTATAGGGAAAAAAAACCCTAAAAAGTCAAATTTAAACTTAAGTTTAAGAATTACACTTGATTCTTTCAACAGGACAAACATCCAAAGCACACTTGCACATCCACCTCTGAAAGACTGGGAAAAGAAATCTTAAAATGGGATCTAGTCAAAGTCTCTTCCTGGCTTAAAAAAATTTGCAAATAAATGAGGAATAGAGAAGTTAAAAGTCCATCACAGGTATATTAAAATACTGCCTGTTAATCTTTGCAGCATCACAATCTACCAGTCTCAATTTTTTACCCTAGCATTATTTAAATTCATGGGATGGTCACTAGTATAGATTTTTGTTAAGGGTTTCTGAAGCAAAAAAAAAACATTATAAGAAAAAAACAATAGAGAACATCTGTTGCCATAATCACTGACATAATGCATCTGATGATACATTTTTATATCTATCCCTGCTTTCCTCGTTTCCTGCAACTATTTCCTGTAGTTATTTCTTTCCTCTCATTGGGATTTGTTTAAATACTTTGTGATTTTAAAATCTTAAAGTAGGATTTGTCTTCTTCCTTTCCAGGTCTCGCTTCACTGCTGTGCTGCACAACCAACCAAGGTTAGAAATCCTCTGATACAGCCTGGAGCTCATTTACTCACTGATGTATTTCTCAAATAGAAGATGGCGTTACAAGACATTCTTGTTATAGATGTACTGAAAAAAAAGAGGCTTGTGGAAAGGCTTCCATCCAGCTATGTTGGGTATTGGTGAAAATAATCAGGGCATTTCCACTGATCGGGGTCAATACCTGAATATGCAGGACAAGAGTTATATTACTTCTGCCTATGTTGATGATTTCCTGAACAGGAACCAGAGCTGGGATTTTATTTTATCATCCAAAGTGTTAATTCTATCTCATAAAAAAAAGCGTGGTGCTTTAACCTTTCTGATTGTTCAGTTTTACCATCCTGGCAGAGTGAGAAGTGATTGTGGCTTCTTTTTAAAATGCTTTCATCAAAATGTTTGCACTCAATAAAATACCTGCCGAGGTCAGAGATACTGCACTGCAAGATCACAGTATAAACTACACTATTAATTTAAAGGAATTTTCCATAATTTGCTTTTATGGGCCGTATTTATCAGACCGTTTAGGTAAGAGAGTTCTGACACCTCCACTGACGACAACGGGCAACATTATAGAGTAATTTATATTAGAGAAATATAAAGAAGTTTATATTTAGAGAAAAAATGGATCCTGGCAAAACATTACCAGGACCTTCTCTATCTTTTTTTTTATGGTGCAGATTAGGTTAATCTTTTCTTGCTTTAGGAACTGATTTCTGAACTCTTATTTGCTTTACTCTTTAAACTAATTTTGGTTTTAATCAATCAAAGAACTATAAGAAAAAGATACTGTTTAGAAGTTGTCCCCCCCCACAGAGACACACAGCACTATAAAGATAAATGGCTCTTACGAAAAGCCATTTCATTTAATCCTTTATCAAAATGCTACTGGTGCTTCTGATGAAGTTCAGTTCTGATACATCTATTATGTAAAAAATGGTTTTGTTTCATTTTTTCAATTCAGCTTATTTGTTTTAAGGATAATTGAAAGAAGAATTAATCCCATTTCCAAACTGCATTTATGAAACTTCAAGTCAAATATTTCTTCTTCTAATATGAATTTAAAAAAAAACTTGATCAAATTATTAGATGCAAGAAAACTTTCCGTGTTCATTGTCATTTTGATTTTGGATGATAAAAAAATAACAAGAACTAGTTTTTGGTAATCAGTTTCATAACTGCAGATGACCTAGTTTCCATATTTTATGTTCTGGTGCTGCAAAGTAAAAACCTCAGCGTTTGTATTTATAGATAGACTTTTCAGAATTGTTGGGTTGAAAGAGCCACAAAGTTCCAGCTCAGTGCCGCACCCCTAAACCTGAACTTGTTGTTCCTCAGGTTATATGAGTATTTCAAGTTGAGCTCAAAGTTGAAAACACAAGTGGAATTTTTCCACTGCAAAAACAATGAATACAATGTGCAAGTTGGCTAGCATGAACTAATTAAAGACTGCTTTTTACTTGTGAAGCCGACTAGCTATTATGAGTCAGCAATTCCCTGAATACCTAGCTGGGCGAGTCAAGGATATAACATAGGCCGTTTGAACTTTTAGCAAAACACATGGGGAGAAAAGACAAAGAAAAAGGAACCTAGATCTGAGCTTGACAGTTTTATAGATAGGTTTGACTTAAGCATACATGCAAGTATTTCACTTTGCATAAATTTTCAAAACATAGGTATGATCCTGTTATTCAATAGTGGAGTTTAAGAGAACCCACAATGTTTAATCATGAAAAGAAATTAAATGGACAGATGGATCTTACTGCATATTTCTAAGCCTTATTGTCAGGTGGTTTTTGGTTTAATTGAACAAGCCTCTGAGATAGAAGGTGGCCAAAGAGTGTGTGGATGTATGTTTGGAGTCTCTAGAGCAGGGGTCACCAACATGGTGCCCGCGGGCACCAAGGGGCCCTCAAGGACCACAAGGGGTGCCCTTAGAGTCTTCTGAAAATAGAACAACTCAACTACGTTTGAAATTTCATAGTATTCTGTTGCTCTTCTTTTTAAAAATCAGTTATAGAATATTTCATCATTTAATCATATATGGCATTTAAGCATTTATAGAGATTTCAACATAAAATGTCTAAAAGAAAATTAGAAATTTAAAGAAACAATAAAGATTGATCCTTGCAATTCATAGGTCAGTATTGGTAGCCCTTCCTGAGACTCAGTGCCCCTGAAAAAGCCCTCAACTGTAAAAAGGTTGGTGACCGCTGCTCTAAAGTTTATTGAAACTGCCTGAATAATGTTAATGTTTTCATTGGGTAAGAGGTGGAGGACTTTCTACCCACCATAGATTAAAATGGAATAAACCACCATGCACACACTCCGGTCAAAAAGGAATTCATTATTTTTGCTAAATCTTTAGGTAGAGTGGAGTTTGGTTATGGACCCAAACACAGAGTAGAAGGAGGAAAAGATGAGTTTTTGCTGATTTAATGAAAAAAAAAAAAAGGCAACAGAAGCAAAATCCAGGATAAATAAAAGAAACAAAACAAGGAGATGCCATGGAGAAACACACATGGGAAGCAAAACAATGAGGGAAACCAGAAATGAGCAACTGCACAGGAGGTGTAAATATGGGGGACAGAACAAAGAATGGGCTAATTAGCTGATATGGAACAGGTGTGGATAGAAGCAACTAGAAGGGAGCTAGCGAAAAGGAGAAAAGGAGAGAGCAACACAGAGTAACTAAAAAAATGCAACACATCTTAATGTAACACAAAATGCAAAAGAAACCAATGACCAACAAGACAGAATGACATACCTGAAAACTAAAAAAGAAATCCAAAAGAGGAGAAGCATAACATTTATAAATTAAATGAATGTATAAAGGAATGTTTGACATTTTTAAAAAGTGAGGATTTTATTACACATTCTGGGTGTTAAAAAGTTGGCTTGACTTACAGATTTAAATGGATATTAGAGCAAAGAGATAAAATGTTTCAGATTTCACATTCCCTTCCCAAGAAGATGCATTTGGATTGGGCTGACTGCGTGTGTCTAGCGCAGCTATATAATTGCTTTAGTTGTTCAATGCAACATCACAGAAACACAATTCTTTTCAGCAGAACAGATAACCTTAAAAAGTAACAATAATATTTTTGACCCATGAAATAGGTTGCTGCTTCTTATTGAGAGTTATAACACTGACCTTGAACTGCCCTAATTCCTATACTTAGGTAAAGTTACTTCATATTGTAAAAGTCGTTAATTGCACACCTCTCCTATATTTAATATTAAACAGATACATGTATGATTTAAAGTACTGTGCTAGATGCAGTGTTTTTGGCCACTCGTTTCATAAAGTTAAGCTCACGGAATGAAATAATTCAACCTTCCATTTCTTGTATTTTTGATAGTTATGACTCACAGGTAAAGAAAATAAAATTCAATGTCTTAGTAAATAAAAATATTACATTAGATCAATTGAAAATAAATATTTATACACAAAGGTCAGGCTCCTGAAAGGGATATCCTTTTCTATGTGTTCAGTACTTGGTTATCATTTTATATTAATTACTGCATTAGTGCGTCATTACACATAGGTGATAAGTTAGGAGGCCATTGCCCTGAGTAACATTATGAAATCAAAATATTCTTTGAAACAGCCCTGCTCAGTACCACGGTTGTTTGAGTATTTCCTTTTTTGTTAGCTGAGATCTGCACAAGGATGTGTTGGAAATGTTGTTTCCTTTTATGGAAGTACCTGAGGTTAGGGTGTAAATACTCTTAACCTCATAGCTCCAAGTAGGATTGGAATTAAAGCTTGATTAATTTTTTTTCCCAACAGAATATCATATCTGAAAATTTGCTTTAAAAAAATTTACCAAAAAAAGATAAAATTTTTATTTTCAATGCTTTCTTCATGAGTAGTGCCTTTTCTCTCACATTTCATAACAGAAGCTAAATATAGATTGTAAATCTATGTCTAAACATTAAATCTATATTTATTTGTTAGATCTATGTATACATCTATATCTATATATGAAATATATAGATAGCTTTGATAAATAAAAGTCTTAAACCTTTATCTAATTCTGTAGCTATATCTTCAATATCAGACTCGTTATCTATGTTCCATTGATGAGGGCTTCTTTTACGCTGTTCTGTTGATATGCCTCCATGCACAACTCTGTGACCAAGCAGCTTCTTCAGCAACATACTTATAGGGCTCACCCTCCCTGTGAAAAATGCTGATGACTGTCTTCTGGACATCTGTCAAGTTAGCATATTTGTCGTGATTGTGAAGCTCCCTGATCCTGTGTGAGGGTCCAACTGAATTTATCAAATCTGTAAGGACTCTTGAGTCAGAGATGTCACCCTGATAAGTGCCAACCAATTAGGGCTAGTTGTAAGGAAGGAGGTAGGACAAGATTGACCATTTAATATGCGGACCTCCTGATGTGCCTATCCACCGCATAGGAGCTAAACAAATAAACTGTCATGATCTGGCCTGTTTGCTCCTCCCTAATTAGTAATTCCTCTCACCTGCCCTCTTCCTTCCCTGCCTCAATTATAATTTATTCCTCTCACCTGTTTCCTCTAGTTTATATTCAGTTCAACCTGAACATTCAGTGCCAGATCATTACTTGTCTTTCTGTTAGTTTTATTTTATGGTTCGTGTCCTGGATCCTAGCTGCCAGTGGAGAGAGGGTTTTAGTGTTTGTCTTGTCTCCTGACTGTCCACTGTTCCTCTCCCGCGGAGTCCTCTGAGTTTTTGGCTCATTATGGGGGGAGGTTTAGTTTTTATCCAGTAAGCCTGGCTCCAGGGTGGAGACCAGTTTAAAGTCCTGCTTCAAGTTCCGGTTCCTACGTCCTGTCTCGGCTACCCTCTTCCACTGAGCCTGCCTGTCTGTACCTGATCCTGTCTGCTCCTGTGCGTGACCACCTGGTCATGCTTCTGGTTCCAGTCAGACTCTGAACCCTCCTGGAAGCCTGTGGATGCCTGGAAGTCTGGATCCTGCCACCTGTCTCTGTTCCTGCCTGATCTGGATCCTGCCTGTTTCTGTCTGTTCTGTGTCCCTCACCAGGATCAGCTTCTAGCATAACCTCTGGGACTGCAGCACTGGGGACACTCGTGGTCTGGACTGTTAAGCCTGAGTGTCTGAGATTGGGCGGTGCCCCGCCCCCCCGCCTGCAGTGTCCGTGAGCCACAGCTCCACTTTAGTTTTTGTTTTATTATTATCTACTGACTGTCTCTCCTTGAATACTGGGTCCATCTGTCCTCGGTTCTTGACATAAACACCACAACCCACCTCCCATACTGCTGAACACATGGGTTTTATAATGGAGTACTTTAGCCATTCTTTATATGTGTTAACTATAGTTTATTTTTACAGTATTTCATTTTTCCTCCATCTGACAGTCCTCCTCACTGTGAGACCCAGTAGATCTCAACATTTCGAGCAAGATTCACTCACTCTGAGCTGCAAGAATGATGACGATGCTGCAAAATGGCTTGTGTGGAGAAACACAACTGAAGGGGAAGTTTCCCAATGTGGAAACAAATGGGGCGGAGTAAAGGGCGCCACCTGTATGAACACTCTGGCACTATCATACGACAGTGGCGTTTACTGGTGTGAGTCCAAGGAGGGGGTACAAAGCAGCAGAATCCAGATCACTGTCACCAGTAGGTTCAGAGTGTGGAGTTAATGTTGATGAAGCTGTTTTATAATGGATTAAATGATGATGATTATCTTTGTGTTCAGGTGAATCAGTCATCCTGGATAGTCCTGTTACCCCGGTGATGGAGGGAGATAACATCACTCTGAGTTGTCTAACCAAGTCCTCTACTGTTCACCATTCTGCTACTTTCTATAAAGATGGCTCCCTCATTAAAACTGAGCCAAAAGGTCAGATGACCTTCCACCATGTTTCCAGGTCTGATGGAGGCCTCTATTACTGTAAGAACAGTCATGGAGAATCTCCAGCCAGCTGGCTCTGCATCAAAGGTGGGTAGCTTCCTCTTCATTTGATCTCTGATTAAATCAACAAAGTTATCTGACTTGCTTTGATTCACCCTGCAGAAAGACCTACATCCACCCCCCTGTATAACCCTACAACTTCTCTAATCCCTGTGACTCCACATGTCCCATCATCACTTCAAATCAGACTGCTTTGTCACCTGGTAGTTTTCTGTCCATTTGTCATCTCCACGCTACTCTTTGTGTCTTTATATCAACTTAAAAACAGGTAAAACTCTGAATCATCTGAAAAAAAAAAACATTGTATCAATCAAGCAGTCTCTAAATATATATTTTTATCATATTTTACAGGAAATGACTTGCCCACGGATATGAAAATAAGTCTGCCCACTAAGGCCCTATAAAGATCGGATGATTACTATAAGAGACTATGAGATTTATTAATTGCTATTATAAGCATATAATAGCCAATAATTACACTTTAAATCATTGTAGTGCCACCAAACACGTAGCACACATAGATAACCTCATCTAGTTCATATTACAACTCTTCCTTTCAGAAGAGTGCTAAACTCTATTTTTTTCCATTGTTATTATAAGCAGGCCAGGTGTGCAATCTCTGCAACAAGAACCACAGCACTGAGCATTGTGTGCACTGCACAAAGTATACCTGTCACAAATGCAGGAAGAACTCACCTTGGTTTTGTAAAAACTGCTAAATGGGACAATTGCAGCTTCATATATAGTGCTTTTCCTTGGGTGAAAATTTTTTTACTGCTATACTGAAATCATACTGTTTGCCATTCTGTAAGCTGAAATGTTGAATGACATGAAAAGGCGAGAACAGACAAAATACAATTATTCTCTGAGTTGTTCTTTCTTTCACATAGTGAGCTTTGTAATATAAAGGTGACGGTGACTTATAACGTTGTTTATTAAAGACTGAGTTAGGGGAAGCATGCAGATATTGTAAAAAGGGGCCTAAGTTGCACCCTTGAGGAACACCACATCAGATTTTTTGTGGTCTATAATGGAAACACAACAAAGTCCCTTTCCAACTGGGATTTGAACCAGTCCAATGCTGTACTATAAAGATAAACCCAGTTTTCTAAGTGCTCTAATAAATTGGTAATTAACAGTGTTAAATGCTGCACTAGGATCCAATAATACCAGTCTTCATTTTTAACGGATGTCAATGAAAACATTGGCAACGGCAGTCTCTGTGCTGCAGTGAGAACGGATGCCTGACTGGACGTTGAAGCGACTAATCAGTGTTGTTAATTGTTTTTAGAAAGATAGTAGATATTACCTTTTTTTTTTTTTTTTTTTTTTTTTTTTTACAAAAGATTTGAAAAAGAATATAAAGATCCTATTAAAGAAAACAGCAACATTATCAGTTTTATTCAGTGATGGTTATAAAACCAAAGTGTTGCTAAAAGAATTGACCCTTTATATAATTTCCCTGCCTCCTACAAGCTTTTCTGGGTTTAGGGTTCATGCTATAAGTTCGTCTAAATGCTTCCTCCAATAAGAAAACAAGGGTTTATTAAAAAAAAAAAGACTAGACTAGTTATGATAATATATTTTGTTCGGTGGGAAACTTGACATTACATCTACACAATGAGCAAAGCCCTGGAGGATCAGTGTCAAATGCAAATTTAAGATCAAAGAGGTTTAAACCAAGTGAGCCTCTCCTCAAATGAAATTCCAATGTTCTGTTGGTCATGCCTTCTCCCCCTACTTTATAAAACAACCTCAGGGTGTTTTCAGTAACAGCTAGTTTAAAGCACTCCTCTTTAAATACCATTACTGGGACTGTTGCCAACTATTTTATTTTATTTTCCATTACGCAGTTATGTAGAATGGCAGCATATTTTTCATCTGTTTTGAACTCACAATGCTTATTTATCAGAGACCAAAGGATGTGAAGCTAAAAGAGTTTCCTGTAAAATTTCTGAGAGCTTACAGTGGGTACAAAAAGTATTCAGACCCCTTTACATTTTTCACTCTTTGTTTCACTGCAGCCGTTTGTTAAAATCAATAAAGTCAATTGTATTTCTCAATAATGTATACTCAGTGTTGGGTTCAAAAATGTAGGTTTGTAAAAGAAGAACTGAAATACACTGTAATGGATTTTCATACAGCTCCTGCAGGAGGAGAGACAGTTGAACCCCAGACTCAAACACACTGTCTCCCACCGGACCTCCTCTGCAGAGCGTTTTATTAACAGAACATGACACATTGTTACAAACAGAGTATTGTTCTGACAGAACAGTTGATCAGGTCATAAGACAGGACGCTCCACGACTGGATCAAAAGGCAGTGTGGTCTCTTGTCTGAATCATGAGACAGAGTGAAGCATCTCATTTCTACAATGTTTCATATGAACACATACATTTTATAATCATCATTGAATAAACCTAACACTCAGCACCCCTTCTTGGCAGAAAAAACAGAAATTTAGACATTTTTGCGAATGTATTAAAAAAAGAAAAACTCATTGTCATAAGTATTTGTCCTTTGCTCAGTATTGAGTAGAAGCAGCCTTTGAGCTAGTACAGCCACAAGTCTTCCTGGGAATGACGCTACAAGTTTTTGACACCTGGATTTGGGGATCCTCTGCCATTCCTCCTTTCAGATCCTCTTCAGTCCAGGTTGGATGGTTAACGTTGATGGACAGCCATTTTCAGGTCTCTAGAGATGCTCATTTGGGTTTAGGTCAGGGCTCTGGTTGGACCAGTCAGGAGTGGTTGCAGAGTTTTTCCCAAGCCACTCCTTTGTTATTGTAGCTGTGTGCTTAGGGTCACTGTCTTGTTGGAAGGTGAACCTTTGGCCCAGTATGAGGTCCTGAGCACTCTGGAAGAGATTTTCTTCCAGGATTTCTCTGCACTTGGCTGTATTCATCCATCCTTCAATTGCAACCAGTCGTCTTGTCCCTGCAGATGAAAAACACCCCCATAGCATGATGCTGTCACCACCATGTTTTACTGTTGTGATTGTATTGAGCAGATGATGAGCAGTGCCTGGATTTCTCTATACATACCGCTTAGAATAAACACCTAAAAGTTCTTCTTTAGTCTCATCAGACCAGAGAATCTTCGTTCTCACAGCCTGGGAGTCCTTCATGTATTTTTTGGCAATCTCTGTGCAGGCTTTCATATCCCTTGCACTGAGGAAAGACTTCCGTCGAGCCAATGGACTCCCAATGAGAAGCAGCACCAATGAGATCTGGCCCCGATAGCTGGGCTGACCAGTACATAAAGCAGAAGGAGAAGGTGGATAAGATGAATTATAATTAGTGAATGGGGAGGGTTCGGCAAGTGAGTGAAGTGAGCAATTAGATCAGCTATCAGGGCTGCGATCATCACAGAGAGGTTTTTCTATCTAAGTAAAACCCAGCTGATCAAACAAGTTCTGAGGAAATTATAAAATGACATTGCATAATTCACACCTTCTGGATGAGAACCTAGCAAAAGTGGACAGGTGCTTGCATTGCGGAGAGCGTGGCCTAGTGGTTAGGGCTCTGTGCTCAAGTCCCACTCCCACGGACTGATACTCTGGGTCCCTGACCCAGACCCTTAACCCCACACTGCTCCCTCGGAGGTGCACCATGGCAGCCCACTGCTCCCCAAGGGGATAGATTAAATGCAGAGATTTGTCATTGACTTTCCATCATATTGAAAATGCATGCAGCCAAAGAGGAGGACCCTCATTCAATAGAGATAAACTTCCAGCTGAGCCAGGCTCAGCTGGAAGGGGCTCTATCTACCCCTGCCATGACTGACAGGGGTAGATAGAGCCCAAACGAAAGGAATTAAGAAAGACTAAACCAGCAGTCCTTTCTATGCTAGAGAGAAGTGAAAGGGTAGGAGAAGAACATGTCTGTGCAGATAAGCCATGAGACAAAACTCTCCTCTTCTTGCATGTTTCCGCTGTCCATAGCGTTGCCCCAAAGTAATTTCCCATTAGGAAACTGCTAGCATTACAGTTGCTAACGGGTTAGCAACAATGCTTCCCAGAAACCGGCCACAATCAAACTTGCTTGCGAACGTTTTGTCACAACAATCCCACCCTCTTGATAAATGACCAATCGAATTCACTCAAATCACTCGTGTAAAGTCGTGCACCACTTGGGAGACATCGGAACTGCAACGGTTGGAACAGCCGTTTCCCTACGGCCGTTCCTCCCTCTGCTGGGTGGCAGCAGAGGGCAACAAATGTCTGTAAAGACAAAAGTGTCAGTGACAGTTTTGGATTTCAGCAAGTTGAGTTAGTGACAGTAATGCAGAAGTCTTTGAAAGGGGAAAATGCAAATGCCGAACATGGCCATGGACAAAATTGTGACCCAGATGAAGGTCCTAGTATTAGTGGTCCATACAGCAAAAGCTGCACCATCTCCCCTGTGCTTGGTGTGTGGTGATAAGCTATTTAATAGAGTCATGGTGCCAAGCAACACCATCTGCAAATCAAACATCCTTTGGTTCAAAACAAGCCGATGCCTATTTTGAAAGCTTAAGTACAAACAATGAGAAACAGGCAACTTTTTTGAGGAAAAATCAAAAAGGTTAATTAGAGAGCCCTTAAAGCTGGCTACCTTGTTGCTGAACTGAGATGCTTGGTCCTGACGCAGCCAAAGAGATAGCTAAAGCGCCTGTGTCAGAAGGTGTTGTCTGCATATTGAACTTTGTGAAGACGCTATTGAGATGTCGCTGATTTGCGTCTTTGTATGAAGAAACGGGAATGGAACATAAAATCGTATAACTCCACATGGAGGTCCGGTGGCTTTCTTGCGTCAAAGTGCTGGCCCGTGTGCATGAGTTGCGAGAGGAAGTTATAGTATTTCTGACAAAAGAGAGGTCCGATTACTCAAAGCTGCTTGCATTCGAGGAGTGGTGTGCAAAGCTGGAATGCCTGGCTGATATATTTTGCTATCTGAATGAACTGATCACAGAGATGCTAGGCCGAAATGAAAACCTGCTTACAAGCACTGATGAAATGAATGGGTTGCTTTTAAAGGTGCAGTTCTGGCAACAGCATATGCAGTAGAGCTGCGTATTGTTAGGAACCTCAAGATTTAATTCGATTTTGATTATTGCTGTTACGATTCGATCAGATCCGATGCCATTCGATTCGATTCAATGCTGATTTTTGAAGCCGTGTGACTCCAGGAGTTTTAAGAGCAGCCTGGGATGCCAAGTTGAGCACATGGGCACAGCGACCAACATGTAGCTCAATGATATCGACAGCAACTAGCATGTTGGCAGCATTATCTGTAACAACAGTGGCTACGTTTCCGGTTAGGCCCGATTCGTTTACTGCCTCCATGAACATGTTCGCTATGTTGCTCCCTGTGAGACTTCCGTGAAGCGGCCTGGTCTAAAGCACATTTGAAACTAATTCCCACTCATTTGATATGAAAAGAGAAGTGATGGTTATGTAGGGGTCAGTCGCTCTCGAAGTCCAGCCATCGCACGTCAGCGTGACTCTTTCTGCAGCCTTTAGCGACTCCAACACAGCCGTCTTCACCTCTGTGTACAGTGCCGACAGCGCCCCATACAGTCAGGAGGTGAATCGGTTCTGAGGGGCTCCCGCATCGTTCATGAATTTTGCGTGTAACAATTGCGATGCATCGATTCTTCAATTATTATACCCACCCCTAATATGCAGCGTGCCAACCTTGAGTTATTCCTGCTCACCGAGAAACTGCAAGATGGCAACACTGCTGCAATGTGCGAGGTGATTGGTACACATTTAAAAACTCTTGAGGAGAATTTATCATTTTATTTCTTTCCATTTTTCAAAGAATATCTTGGCTGGGTTAGGGCCCCATACCGTCAGTATCCGTTGCTGGAAAAGACATGACTTTAAAGGAGCAAGAGGAACTCAATGAACTGAAACAAGCTCATAGTTTGAAGCTAAAATGTAATGATCTTTCTTTGGACTGTTTTTGGTTATCTATAGCCCAGGAGCTCCTAATTCTGGCCAACAAAGCTACTTTGACATTTCTCCTATTTCCAAGCTTCTCATACTTCACTGCGATAAAAACTTAGAACAGAGAGAGAGAGAGACTGAGAAATCCTGCAGGATATCTCTTTTGTGTTCATTTAAATACGCCCAGATTTCCTTCCAAGTGAGTATAAATACATCTAGAAACTA